GACAGTTACATTGTATTTTCGATATCTTTGAAGTGATTTTGTAGCAACTACCTTACTTCAAAAAATAATTCGTAAGAGACCCTATGTGGGAAATTCTTTTTTCCAAAATATTATTAGGACAATTTTGCCTTTTTCTTTTCCTTTAGATTTCATGATTTTTTTTAAAAAATATATCATAATTCCTTCTTAAATCTTATTTTTTATAATTATTAGCTAGAATTGTAAACATTTTAGTATGATTAAGATTGTTGATTGGTCTTTTGTAAATATGGGTATTTATCGAACGAGTCGATCTCGAGTTGAACAATGCTCGATTCGTATTCGTTAAAAAAATTGTTTGTTGACTCGTTGCTAGACTAATTGCTCTTTAATCGACTTGACTCATTGCTAGTTAAACTCACTAGAACTTTTACCTTATTTTGAACTTTATGTAAAATTTAATAATATTATATAAAGCTTAATATAAACATAAATTAACAAATTTAACCAAAAAATAATTAAAAAAAAGTGTATGATACAATTTTAAAGTCTACTCTCCAAATTTAAAAGTAACAATCCACAAATACACTAAATTAACAATCCACAAATATTAATTAATAATTAGAAACTTATAATCTTTCTTATTATCTATTAGCAAATTAGTACATTAGTAATAAGACTTTTTTTAATGAAATAAATTTTTAAGGTATCTATTAAAAAATATAAAAAAATAACGAATAACTTGTAAACTCGTTAAGGTTTCGAGTTGAGCTTAAATTCAAGTCGAATCAATCTAAATTGAATGTTGAATGAGTTGAGCGTTCAATGTCGAGATGTTGAGAGTTAACTTTAAACATATATTGTCTTGTATTTACCCATATTAATTAAAAAAAATAAAGAATGAGAATCCTTTGAAAGGTGTTCAAGTTTGTAAGAAATCAAAGCAAAACTTCAAAGTTGACTAAACAACAAACCACTTGCAAAGAAGAAGAAAAAACTAGGCAAACCTAAATGTACACAAAAAGAGAAGAAAATGTCAATGTACACTTCACCCTTTGAATTAATCACGGGTATCCGATCTATTGACGCACTAATTCAGATCGGGTATTATAGAGGTGAGGATAACCCTCTCAACCTAGTTTACTTCATTCGCAAATGCCATGGCTCAAACTCAATTTGCTCCATTTCCAACCCCTTTAAACTTGATAATAGATTTTCTTTTAATTTTGAATTATTCGAGTGACTTGTATCAAATTGAATTTTAAGTTTGAATTTGTAAAGTTTGAATAATAAAAAGTTTATCTAAGCAGTTTAATAATTTTGTGTTTTGTTCCAAGATTTATTTATTTCTTCAATTTCTCCTCCATTTTAGTCCATTTTGACTAAATTTGAATCATGTGCTCCTAAATTATTATAGAATACATATGTAGCTTCAATTCCTTTGTTTGACAATAAATTTTATCTTTTTGTGATTTAGTCTTTAGTCTCTCAACTTTGTATGATTTTCTCATTTCTTCAATCATATCATTATAAGTAATTACAATTAAATATGAATAGAAATTTGAACAACTTGACTTCACGCGAATTTCATAAACTTGATTCAACTCGAAAAAAATTTCAAATAGAATTTGAATGATAAAATAGGATTCGTCAATTCTATTTTTTTCTGACTTGACTCGATCTAATACTCTCTCCTATATGTGATAATTAAGTTTGTGAGAAGTTAAATACTTTAGTTAAATTATACATGTAGTTCCTCATTTATAAGATATTTTTGTTGAGTCTTTTGATTATGAAAAGTTATATAATGGGCATATGAGTTTATGAAAGTTATAAGTGAAGCTCGAACGAGATATTCCGACCTGAATATAAACTCCACATTAATTATCGAAGTGACCCAAAACAGAATATACGTAAACATGCTCCTATTTTGAAACGCTAAGAAAAATTAAAACTGTAATTCGACTCCAAAACCACTTTTAAAAGTTAAAATATTTAACTTCTACATTTGAGTGGAAAAAGATCGAAAAAAACTATTCACTAATGAAAAAAAAACTATTCACTATCGATGAATATACTAATTTCTTTAAAATTAAATCACTTATTTAGTTGTTGCATTGTTTAGGAGGGAAATAAATTGATCGATACAGATAGTTCGAGTTGAAACATAAGAAGTTATACATTCAAACTTAATGTTTGTTGCATATCTGTGTCCTCGTTAAATACACAAGAATGCCAACAATAAGCCATAAAATCGTTATTAATATTAAAACTGCATATACTTTTAAAGGAGTTATATATACATGTCACGTCTTGATTTGAACTCCATTAGTTGTTCCATAAAAAGAAACATTTCTTACTGAGTAAATTTAACATTCTCGGTTCATCCCATAATACCAAGGCTATCAATGCTTCATATTGCGGAAAAAAATTGAAAATAAAATTAATATAGAAGTTTAATTTCATAAAACAAGAAAAATCATTGTAAAAGAATAAATAAAAAGTAAAAAGGTGTACGTGATTCTATGGCCCGGACCATATTCAATGTTTTTGATATTAATGTATTTAGAATCAGGTCCAAATGATATACAATCATCACCTGATTTAATTAAGAGTCAGTCAATATCAAAACAAATACATGTAAAAATAAAACAAAATCAATGAGGTTGGTTCAAGTAGGAAGTAGCTTGATATTACTTAAGTAGGTCTTGAGTTTGAGTCTTTGTGTATGCAAAAAATCCCTATTGAGAGACTTACTCACAAAATCAAGTGTTTTTATGGTTTAAATCAAATTTTCTTTTCGTTTTGTTTGGACCTGTTTCAATCAAATAGCAATGTGTTTAGAAGCAAATCTAAGACATAAATAAAATTTTGTGTTATGAGGGAATTTTTGAAAATTAAAAGGACGAAAATAGATTATCAATACAAAATATTTAAAATATATAATAATTTAAATTTTTTTAGGGAAAATGATTGCAGGACCATCCTTCTTATATATAGGGATGGGCGCGAGACCTGAATTTGACGGGTTTTGATCCGACCTTATCGGATTTAATTTTTTCAAAAAAAAATCGGGTTTTGGTTGAGTTTTTTAGAGGTTATGTTCGGTTTGGGTCAGGTTCGAGTTTAGAGTGAAAAATATCTAACTCGACCCGACCCAAAAAATGTAATTTTAACTTATATATTTAAGGATAATTATAATCATATCCCTCTATATATTACTTTTTCCCTTAAATCCCTATTTTTATTAAATAAAAATACTATTTTTTATAAATATATAATTTCGAATTGGGTCGGATTTGGATTTTATTTAAAAAAAAGACAGCTTGAGTTTGAGTCGGGTGAAATGTATATATTTTTAAGGTCGGATTCAAATTAGATGGAAGGTGTATAATTTTTAGGTCAGATAGATTAATCGAAAACCTGATCTATGACCATCCCGACTCGGGGTCACATGCACGTGCAGGTACATAACTAGAGGAGGGAACAGGGCATTGAAAAATGCTAATATTCCAGCAACTATTCCATTTCAGTTTAAACCTAAGTCAAGTCTTGAACCAAAACAAATAAAAAATTTCAGGTTTTGACCAATGCCGAATTTGACGGGGCGGTCTTCCATGCATGAAAAACGTTCCTTTCCACTCCTTATGGGTTGTATTTCTAATACAATCACATTAACATAGTCGAAGAATTATATATTTTAGGGTAAATTAAGATTTAATATCTAAACTATCAGTTTTAATCTATTTTAGTACTTAAACTTTCAATATTTTTAAAATCATACCTAACATTTAATTTTTGTTTCATTTTAGTACGCTACTGTTAAAAACTTAGTGAACCTGTTACAACTTGGTACTTTTTTATGGCTAAATTATATTATTCATCAGCCAACTATATTTTCATTCCTATTTTGGTCATTGAAGTTTATTTTTTAATTTAACTGTTTAACTTTCAAATTACTCCTAATTTAATCATTCTAACTTTCAAATTTAATTTTTTATTTAATTATTTATTAAAAAATAAAAAAATCATGTCACAATATTATTAATAAAATAAATTAGAGTGATTAAAACATGAGTAATTTAAAAGTTGAGTAGTTAAATTGAAAATTTTTAAACTTTAATTACCAAAATAGAAGAGAGTAGATAATTAAGTGATGAATGATGTAATTTACCCATAAAAAAGTGTTCCGTTTTTAAACGGTGAGGTACTAAAATGAAACAAAAACTAAATGTTAGATATGATTTTGAAAAAATATAAAGTTTAGGTACTAAAACGAACCGAAATTGATAGTTTATATATTAAATGCGTAATTTACACTATACTTTAATATGGTTTTAGTGCAATTTAATTTTGTTTTATGAAAACCAATACATTAGACATTAAATTAATTAAGGTTTCGAGAATAATAAATCTATTTACACTGAGTAATGGTTGCTTTAAACTATAATAATGGTTGGTTTTGCAGGACAAGTCTGCATCAAGTGCAAAATGTCTAATATTCCTTCACATTCTCCACTCTTCTGAACAAGCTATTTAGCGTCTTTCTTCTTCTTCACTGGTTTAGTGCCATGGAAAAGAGGAAGAAGCATAAAAAGCTTATTGCCAATGCTTCTAATCAAGAACCTGAATCAAATGACGACTTGGTATGTGACCCTTTTTGATCTTCTTCATTGTTTTCTCTTATTTGTAATAGTTGCAGTTTGGTTTCCCCTTTGCATGCGACTGCTGGATGGTGCTGGTGAATGAATGCTTTATGTATTTTTGTCGAATTTTGATGAGGTGAATTGGTCATGAACAGAACAAGGAAGAACGGAACCAATCCAATGATGCACTTGCTGCAAAGGCTACTAAAAATGGTAGCTCTTCACAGGAAGATCTTCCTTAAATGATCAGTATTCACATGTACCTCAATGGCCATACACCATTCAACAGGCGGCTGAGCAGTCTTCATTGAATGTAATGAGTCAGGCACCTCCTATTCTTGCAAGCCGATTCCAGCAAGCGACACCATTGCAAGGCCAACCCCCGGTGCATTTCGCCTCACCGACCTCCCCCTTTTGGCTACCACAGCAACCTAGTTACCAATTTCCCTCAGTAACTGTGCCTGCAACATTTCAGCCATTCACTTCCATGGCTGCACTTGGTACTAACTGGCAACCGTCTCCTATGACTGGAGGAACCTTCTCAAGAAGCCAACATCATGTCCCAAATATCTGTTACCATTTTAGGCCAAACCTGGTTTTCCAGGTACGATTTGAACTAATTTCTTTACTATGATTGGTTTGTTGTGGTCAAGTTTGTGTTCATCAAATCACATCATACCGTGTGATTATTATCTGTTCAAATTGATTTATGCTATATCGATCGATGTATGACGCTGATAGCATATCAATGGAATGTTCATGTTAATAGGTCCTTGGGAGCCCTCTTCTTGGTGGACTCATGGTCAACAAACTCAGCCATCTTTAAGCTATACTTTCCCAGGATCCTATGCCTGCTTTTCTTCAGAACTGCCACCATTGACGAATTGCTCAGCGACCTTCGGAGAGTCCTCTCAAAGGGGGATTATCGGCCAACAGAAAACGTTTCTCAGAAGCACCAACAACTTTGGGAAGCTCAAGTAGTAGTGTTTTAGTCACATAATCTGATATTTTAGTATAGGTTATTCACTCTTGTAACCATTGATTATTAATAAGACTTTCATATATTTTTCTTCCATATGCAGTTAATGGAGAATGTTCAGCTATGGAGAATAATTGGTCAATTGCAATCAGAAATAGCTGATTACGAGGGTCGATTAATAAAGCTCGAAGCTGAAGTTTCATCTCTGAAGCCATCTGTCGATGAGCCTTCGGTTCAAGTTGTCCGGACTGGTTTATCTGGAGCAGAATCAAAGAGGGGGAGACCAAAGAGGTCAGTTGCTTTTGCAAGTGCGTCTGCTTCTCCTGATGAGTCTCATCCTCAAGCAAGAGGTCAAAAGCCTGCAGCAAATAAAGTTCGATCCGAGCCTCGAGTTCTTGTATATGAGAAAGTTGTTCTGAACAAGGTGGAAAAGATAGCTCAGTCCACTTCGAGTACCGGGAAAGACAACAGCGAGAAGATCCCATTTGTTACCACAAATAATAGTATTGACTTGGAGTGTAATGCAAGTAATTTGCCAATTCTTGCATCCCACATCCAAGCTCATCAGGCAAGTCCCGGCATCCAAATTTTTGGAATGACCAATTCCTCTTTAGAAATGAAAGAACATGGTGATAAGGTAGATAATTCTATTTCTATAGCTTCCCAACAAGCTAAACAAAACAACGGTGTTTCAGCTAGGCACATGGGAGGGATAAATGGTGATCAAACTCTGACTGTGCCTGCAAGTTTCAGAACCGAAGAGCCTCGGAGAAACATATATAATCAAATTTATATGAGAATGTTTATCTGATGAGACAAGAAGGAAAACTCATCCCGGGATGGAGTTTCGTGAATGAAGAGGATGCTTCAGATGAGCTTGAAGATGCAGTAGTGGCTTGTGCAAATGATGAAAAGGAAGAGGAAATGGGGGATGATGTGAGCTCAGGATCTGAAGGAATTGCTCAAACAAAAGACAATTCTGCAGATCTACGTCAGTGTAAAAACTAGTGATAGATTCATGTTAACATCAAATGTAGTGGATGATGGATGATTCTGCTCAAATTTTGTAGGAGACCCAAGGCAAAGTTGACAGCATAAATGAAATTGCCACTAGCTGTTTCATGCAATGTTAATCTTGTATACGTACAGGTAAGCTAATCTTGGCAATAATAGAGCATCACCCATCATCCTAATTTCATCACCAATTTTATTAGTGTTGTAAATGAGTAGGGTTGGTCCTGACTATTTTCTAACTCAGGACGAAATTAAAAAATGAGCCTTAATTTAAAAGAAATTTAAGAAACATGTAATTTAAAATTTATATTAATTTTTTTATTAAATTTAAAAAGTAGTAATTCATTACAATATCAAAAATGTCAAAAACATATTTAAACATAGAAATACTTATATAAAAAACTACCTTCGAGCTTTTCTTGATGCAAAATCGTTGATGATAGTGTCAACATCAATGTTTTTCAACATATTTTTCTCAATACATAACATAGCTAACCCATTTAATCTTTCTTGTGGTATTGTTGACCTCAAGTAATTTTTCAATAATTTTAGCTTTGAAAAACTTCTTTCTGCGGATGCTACCATCACCGACATTATTAATAGGAATCGGTAAGCAATTGAAACATTACGATAACAATCAGTAGCTTTAACAAACTCAAGAATTTCAAGCGCAAATATGAACACATTTGTCAAAGTCAATTGCAACACTTTCATTTCAAAAGGAAACAAAAGTCATCTGCATCAACATCCGACAAATTATTATGAGAAAAAATAATCTTAAAATTATTGCAACATTCTCTTTATTTATTATCATCAAATGACTTACCTTATATAATCAATTAAAAAATCAAAACAATTTTAAAAAAATCTTTAACTGCTCAAATCTATCTTCAACAGCAACAACAAAGTAATTTACTCCAAAAGACTCCTATGTTGATTGCATTTTTTCTTCACGGTCATTCTCATCAAATTGTCTTTTTTTCTAAAAATATAATGCTTAGATTTACACTTAAATGAGTGGAAATAGATGTATGAGATTAACAGTAGGGAAATGAGAAGATATTCACTGAGGAAATATAAGGAGTTAATCTCAGTGATCTATTTTCGCTTATCCAACGATCCTAAATCTGTGTAAAACTATAAAAGTTTTATATTGTATAAAGAGTTATTAACCATATATATATATATATTATTGTCATTTTTGTAAGGAGTGAATTATGTGAGAATAGAGGTTTGGATGGAAACTTAGGTTAATAATTTTGACAAAATTAGGTCCATTTTAGTACTAAGAGAAGAATCTTTAGTATACCAAAAGTAAACAAAGAAATCGAACAAGGCAAACCTTTGGACTTCACTATTCTAGTTACATATCTAACATTAAATTAAATTAGTGTAAGACAATATGTATATATCATCTATTTTCATATATCTTCCCTCTTCTCTTAAACTATTTTTCCACACGTGTCAAGTAATCTTAATGGTTAAGGAATTGTTATTTTCTTTTAAGATTTCGGGTTCGAGTACTACGTATATAAAAGTATGAGTATTCAATGTCAAATGATTAAATTGTTTTGAACAGATATTACCTTAAATTCATATCAGACTAATAAAAAAATACTCCTCCCATCTACTAAAGTAAAATAATAAAATTCATACCATATACCACATGGCTTCTTTCTACAATTCGAGGATTTCACGTCCATTCATGGAAGCAACATAAAAATCCAAACTAAATTTAACTAATTTTCTTTTTAAATTTTCCAATATATAAGTTTTGGAAGAAAAAAAATACAATTATGCTTTTATTTAATCTATAATATTATGATTTAGAATTAATTTTAAATAAATGAAATATTAATATTAAAGTTTGACTCGAATTCAAAATATCACAGTTTAATTGGAAAAGTAATAAATATGATTTAATTAAAAGTAGAGAACTTTATCGAAGTAGATTTTTTACTTTATTTAGTTTCATTTGTAATCAAGTATCTATCATTATAAATAGATACTAAGGGTAAGAGTTAGATATAAAAAAAATTTCCTTTCTCCAAAATTCTCTTGTGTTTTCTTCCCTCATATTAGTGAAATTGTTCTTTTCTTCCCGCAATTTTTTCCCTTTTGGGTTTTCCACTTAAATCTTGGTGTTTTTCGTTCTGTTTTTCGATCATCTTTATTTGTTTGCAGATAATCCTTTTGAAAGTATAACAAACTAGTATTGAGCTTCGGATTTAAGATTATGTCAACAATAAAGTATGATATTCTGATATTGGATCGAAACATCAAGTTCTTGCTATGGTAAGTGCAAATTTGAGATGTTCTTACATAATTTGATATATACGACGTAATAGAAGGATTTGATGAGAAGCCGATAACACAATCGACAAATAAGAAAAAACGTAATGATCGTAAAGCCTTTTCTTAGATTCGTTTACACTTATTACATCAAAATTTGCAAGATGTGTTAAAGGAGCAAACGGTTGATTCCTTATGCATGAAGTTAGAGCAACTATGCATGCATAAATCATTGTCCAACAAGTTGCACTTAAAGCAATGTCTTTATTCGCTCAAGTTGACAGAAGGCTTGTCTCTTGAAGTGAACACGATCATATTCAAAGAAACAATCTTCGATCTAAAAACTTTAGAAGTGAAGTATAATCAAGAAGATTTAGGGTTCAAAATACCTTAAAATTTTTGTTTTTGATCTGCTTTTGATTTCTCTCTTTTGATGTTTTACTTTTTTATTGGGTTTTCTCCCATTACAATGTTGGATGATAATAAGTCCTTAAAAAAAATCCTATTTTTGTCTTGACAGCATCTTGCTTTCTTTTTTTGCATGGTTGCCAATTTGGTGTTGAATTGGTGTAGGAGAAGCATATGTCATGAGGTAGCAGTTGATATGAAGGGATTACGTTCCCTTTTGTTTTTTTAACTTTTTGTATTTTTTAAAATAAAAGAATATATATGTATGAGTGGGAAAAATTGGTGATTACAGCCGTGAAACACTTACTCTTGAAGAAGTGTATAATGGCACGCACTTGTTCGACAAGATGAAGCATCTTGTATTTGGTTCCGTACCCTAGGCAGGGGGTTTCGTGGTGCATGGATTGACTAGCTCAGACCGTGGAAGAAAAGGCGAGCGTTCTTCTGGTAGTAAAGGAATTGGCAGATCAAAATCTTCCAACCGAGGTAAAACTTGTCACTTTTGTAAAAATAAATGTCATATTAAAGCAAAGTGTTACAAGTTGCAGGAAAAGATAAAGAGATAAGCATATGGTAAGTCCTTATGGACCCAAGGTACTCCTTTAGGTTGGCTCCTATGCTTCGTCTAGGGTAAGTCCTTACAGACCTAAGGTATCCCCTTAGTTAGTCTCATACGGCCAATGGGTCTAGGGTAAGACCTTATGGATGCAGTTATGAAGAACGGTATATCGGTATTCAGTTGTAAGGTAATTATGTGAATTTTAAACTCAATTATACCCCTTTTAAAATTTGTTTCTACCAAAATAAATTATTAATGTTCTAAACTATATGTACACACTTCTCTACATCTGATGGAAATAATAGACTCTCTAACCTAAAATTCTTAACATGTCTATTTCTATGATTCTTTCAGACTGTAGGCTTTCGACTGGTAAATGAACAATCAATTAATGATATTTCAAGTCGTCGGTAGAATTTGTAGATGCTTTGATCATTAAGAAAATTTTACTCTTTATCATATACATGCTTGTGACCTTTAGTATCTTTGGGTAGTTAGTAATACTAAGTTTTTCTCAAAGTTCACTATGTATTTACCAGTTGATGTTAAAGAATTGATCATGTTCTTTATCGACATCGGTTATGAGAGTTCCTTCGGCGTTACTTGCAGAGTACGGTGCAAGCGTAATTAGGAGGCATGTAGGTATATCTTATTTTTATAATGTGTACTCTTGAATTCTGTATTAACATTTAAATGATTTCTGAACTTTATTTTATTTTGAAAGTGTTTATGGTTTTAATTTTGTTTCACAAAATTTTATGTTTCTCATATTTTTATTGTGGGTCACTTCGGTGACTTAAATGTGACACCTTGAATTAGATCGGGTTACATGAATCTGTTAGAGGGTGTTACAATATTTATTAACTATAAAATAATAATATTGTCATAAAATATTGATTAAATTAATCTAATATTTAAAAATAATAATTATTATATTTTATATTTATAATAAATAATTTATGAAAATTTATCAACTAGAAATGATTTACATAGCATCATCCAAACACCATAAAATATTTTCTGAAAGTTGTTTTCCTATGTAATTTATTTTACTCACTTTTCAGGTAATTAATTTTACATAAATCATTTTTCAGAAAATCAATTGCAGTTTTTCAAACAATTACTTTTGTTTCGTTTTAGTTTCCAAACTTTTTTTTTTCAAAATCATACTTAATGTTTAGTGTAGGTTTTAATTTGATACATCGTCGTTAAAAATTTAACAGAACTATTGACGTGCCATTTTTTTGCAATGATGTCATGTCATTACCTTATGGTGACATATCAACATAACCATTAAATTTTTTACGATGGGTTACCAAAATGAAACATAAACTAAACATTAGGTATGATTTTGGGGGAAAAAATAAAGTTTAGATATTGAAACATAACAAAAGTAATAGTTTAGATACTAAACATGTAGCTAACCATTAAATTATTGTAATACCCTAATTTTTTTCGGACATTTTAATTCCATTTAAAGATGATCGGGAAATAATTTGAAGATGTTGGTGCTCGATGAAGAATTAATTCAAATAATGAAGCGTGGAATTTTGCGTTTGAAAGCTTTAGGTGCTAGATTGGAATTAGAATCGTATATGGAAATCGAGACATAAATTGAAATCCAAATTCCAAAATTGAATGTTTAAAGTCCATTTACAAGCCCAAGTCAGTTCAAATAAATGACTCAACAATAATTACAGCCTGAGCCCAAAGCATTAAACCCGGTAACACCCACAAATTCCCCAACCGAGCAGCAGCTCGTGCGTGCAAGCACACTGATCGAGCAGCATTGCAGCTGCCCATACTCCACTGCCTCCCACGTGAAGCATCAGAATCGAGCAGTATGCCTGACAACACTCCCAACGCCCTGCCAAACACCACGCCCGAGAAGACCGGGGCTCACCATTCCCAACTCGTGCCCGTGCCTTCACCATTTCCAACCGATCTGTCCATACCCTGGAACACGGGAAGCAAGAAGGCAGGAAATATATCAACAATAAAAGAGATATCAACCAAGAAGAAAAGGGAGATGACCAACGATTATCAAAAGTAGAACACACAATAAAGGGGTTCACCAACATTAAGCAAGCAAAAGAATCAACCATCAGCAACCATTCGGGGGGGTTCTCGGTTAGTGAAAGAGAAGAGGCTCGAACAGTTTTAGATGGGGAATGATTATCAACGATTGTAAGGGGAATTAGGGGAGAGCAAACTGTAAACGGGGAAAATGAGAAACAATGTGTAAATAGAGGGGTTCTTCCTTTCATTTCTTCGAATCAATAAAACAATCTGAGACACCAAAACGAAGAGCAACGCAATATTTTCAAATATTCTCAAAGGTATTTCCTATATTTGGCTTCTACCAAAAACCAGTAACCATTTCGTTTCTTTCCATTGTGAACCAAAATGAATATGAAATAGTAGGAGTGGAAGGGAAATGCTTACCTTAGAGATAGGAGTCTCGTCTTGGTTTGTCGTGAGAGTGGGAAGTGAGAGGAGTAGAACCCGAGGGTCTCGGTTATGTGGGTTAGCTTAGGTTTTTCTTTCATCGAGAGGCCTCGGTTGAGTTAAGAAAGGCCATCGGGATGGTGCCAAGCCTCGATTCGGGGACTAGAAGTAGATCAGAGAGTTGAGGGACTGTTGGAGGTCGTTTGGCTTGCTCGGCCGTCATTGGTGTCCGGGGTTTTGAGTTTGAAGGCTCGGTTTTGTGTGGTGGTCTCGGTTGTTCTAGGTTTTGGTCTTTCTGTTAGGTGGGTTTTGGCCACCGTCGTGCGGTGGCCGGTTGAAGTCGTGGGACCTTTGGAAGCTCTCGTCGAGGCTGTGTGCGTCAAAAGAGAGTGAAAGAAGAAGAGTTGCGGCTGGAGATGTTATAATTGAATTTAGGGTTGTTTTCAATCCTAGAATTATATGTATATAAGACTAATAAAACGATGTCTTTTAAAGGATATAGGGTTCCTATTTTGTGCGTGGTTATGTACCACTTAAGCCATTCAAATGTTCAATGTCATGCATTTTGGCCCTTAATTCGTATGTTTCTGTGTTTTTAATTTAGTTTCTTTATTTTAAGTATGTTTAATTTTAGTCCTAAGTATTGTTGTAGTTGAATCTTTGATGTTTCAAACATTTGACCTTTGTGTTTTGCATTTTTCATTTTAGTCCTTAAATCGACGTTTTGATCTTTCTAATTTTGCTCCCATATTTTACGCGCATTTGGTTTCATCCCCAATTTGTAATATATTTAATTTTGTTATTTGAGACATTTGACTATCAATATTTTGCATGTTTTTTTTGGGTTATATGTAGCATTTTGGTTATATTTATGTTTGCAGCACTTGGAAATGACATTTTATGAAAAGAGCTCACTGTTTATTTTCTCTATATCTTAGCCACTTGTTTAATATTCCATGCATGTTTGTATAGCTAATTTAGGTTTATTTTGAATGTATGCATGTACATATTATTTCGAGCATGTCGTTAGTACATATATATATTTAGGTGTAGCGTTTTTTGCATGTTAATCTCATATGTATGACTTAACTTGATCACATAATCGGATTAAGGGTAATACACTTTTAATTTAAAACTGTCGGGATAACTTTTCTTAACTTACATGAAAGTTATTCTCAACGGTTTTAAATTACAAGTGTATCCCGTCATTGTCACCAAAAAGTTGATTATTCACTTTAAAATTTGGGAGTGAAAGAAAAAGAAATGTTCTGCCATTTAAATTTGTTGAGAAAAGGTCGTTAGAACTGACCTAAAGATCTGGTCTCAATATATTTAAATCGAATATTCTTTATCTTTCTAATGGCTTAGTAATTTTAATTTAACTTATTTCGTTGCTTTTGAATGATACAAACAAAATTAGCATTTTTGTTGTTTTAAGGGATCATAAATCAAATTAAACTCAAACTTGTGAAATTCGTTGCAAAGACATTTATTAATCAATTAGGTACTGATTTAGGGCGCTGTGGGGGTGCTAATCCTTCTCCACGCGTAACCGACTCCTGAACTCGGATTTTGATAACGCAGACCTTAATTTGTTGTTTTTAATTAAAATTAATTTTTTGTTTAAAATGACAACGTTTTTTGGGTGCCCAATCACACCCTAATCAAAGATTGGTGGCGACTCTTTGAACTGTACATTTTATTTTAAAAAGGAATCCCAAATTTTTCGAAACGAGAGGTTTTTTAAAATCGTACTATTTTTAATTAAAAAATCAATTAGAGATCAATAATTAAAAATGACGCGGTTTTCAAAATCTCGCCCCGCACCGGTAAAAATCGTTTCGACAGCTTGGCGACTCCATTGGGGACTTTTTTTAGAGAGTCAGCCCGATAGTCGATTAATTAATTGTCTTTGTAAATGAAATTTATAAGTTCATTTTAATTTGATTTTTGATCCCTTGTTTGTTTTAAATTTTATGTTTGCATTCTAATTTGTGGATTGATTAAAGAATAAATAGTTGTACTAACGTGTGATTTACATGTTTCAGTTTTTTACCTTCACTTTGGTTTGTTGTGTTTCTTGGATCGAGGCAAAGGATTATGGGTTTCCCCTTACTGTCATTATAACCATTCGATATTTAGAGCCTTCTAACTGTGCTCTGTCCCGTTAGGTAGGGGTGAATGCTACGCTTACGTGAGAAAAATTACTTTTCTCCGCATGGGCTTTAGCAAATAACCTCTGGGGTACATGCCTTATGTTTACGAGTGAAACATTGAGTTTCCTCGCATGGACATAGGGAAATGTATCCTCTCGAATTGAACTTGATCTGTTTTAAGCCTATAATGGGTGAGGATCGAGGGTCTGGCAAGCTAAAGGGAGAACCAGTAAAGGACAATTCGAGGACCCTTTTAGTGATACCAAAACTCTGCCCGTTTTATGCTAAATCTCTATCCGTAGACACAAAGGGGAAACTCATTCTAACCTTTTCCTCGAATTTATTTTTGCAATAAGTATGAGAACTAGAAAAGCATGCGGTTATGTTTTTTATTTTCGCACAAAGCATGTGAATTAGATACCATGTGGTTAGGATTTTTTGTGAATGACAAAGCATGTGGGTAGATACCATGTTGGGTAGGATCTACTAAAGCATGATTGGGTAGCCATCATGTAAGCGTAGGTTTTATTTGATGTTTACGGTATCCACTATCTTATTGTTTATCTTATGTGCACTAACCCTTTTTTGTTCTATATCTATTTTATTGATTTTATTGCATTTGCATCCTCATGTCATCGAGGGGTGTTAATTCGCAAGTGATTGACTAACAAGAAGGCTGACCATATTGAGGCAAGAAATTCTCCACCATGTAGTCAAAAATGAGAGATCCAGAGATGTTCAAATGATCTATGAAGAAGGGCACCCGATGAATGAAGAGATATGAAGTTGATTGAAGAATTCCTTTAAAACTGTAAAGGCCAAGATGTTGAGTCAAGGGATAGATACAATCATACCAAGGACGAAAAAACCATTCATAAATACGAGAAGACCGTTCACCGAGGACATGAAGACCATTCATAAAGACATGAATACCATTCATAAAGACATGAAGACCCTTCATAAAGACATGAAGACCACTTTGCATTTGAGGTAAGAATGGAAATTTCAAGATTCAATTTAGAGACATCCGATATCATCAAAGGTGATAAGATACGCCAACAATTTTGGAGGTGCAATACCAGATCCCATGAAGAGTACAATTCAAGGAAATGAAGAGATGAAGAATCACAGTTGTATTTTGACTACATGATGTACTTACTGAATTCTTGTTGTCTAAGTGAACGGTTGTTCTATAAGTGGTCACTTTCGGAATTAACACCTCGTGCATTTGCATTTGCATATGCATATGCATTTGCATTCTTATTTTTGCATTTGATTATTAATTTATTTTGCTATTGTTTCTTTTTGTCATTTTGTTACCTTATTTATACTGACTTGTTTTTGCGTTGTTTGCATTGCATGATCATGACATAATCAAAAGGTGTCGATTCGTGAGTGGTCAGCATAGTAGAAGGTTTTCATGATGAACAAGGGGTTTCGTGATCAAGCAGACTATAATACAGCTGAGAAGTGGCATCCTAAGAAAGCTTTGAGAATAGTGGAAAGATCTGCACCCGAAGATCGCATGGTTGAGGAAGAGAAAAAGGAGATAAAAGAGCATATGTATAGGATGATGGATAGGATAGATGCTTTGTCCAAGGGAAGAGAGACTTCTAAAACAGAAAAGAAAGAACTCGACGAAAGCAACCTTAAGGTGTCAAATATGCAAGAGACTACTTTAGAGCCTGCTGATCCTAGCCAGTATGAGAAGCCATGCACAATCATTGTTCGTATCAACAAGCTGTCTGGAAATGCCAAGGAAATAGTGGAAACTATAGAAGTTCAGAAGGATGAAAAGAAGTCATACAATCAGAACTCGTTGGTGTTTGATAGTCTAATCCCCACATCATGGGCATTAAAGCGGGAAATTCTAGTCCAAACCAAGTCGAGAGGTGGCTCTCATTTTGATTCTATCCCAATATCATATAAGGAGTTGTATGATGCACTGCTAGAAGCCCGTGAAGTGGCCCCACATTATGTGAAGCCTTTGCAACCTCCGTATCCAAATTGGTACGACGTCAGTGTTCGTTATAAATATCATGTTTGGGTTCAAGGACATTCCATTGAGAATTGCACCACCTTCAAACATCGAGTCCAACATCTTCTGGATCATGGATTATTGAAATTTGAATTGAAAGGACAACACACTTCAGTAGTAGCTTATCCTGTTGAGTCTGAACCAAAAGTGACCAAAGGAAAGGGTATCAATGAGGACATCCAAAAAGAAGAAAGTTTGCCGAGATATGAAGCTCAGATTCGTCATTTAAGGAGCGAAAATGATAGATTGAGAAGATAGATGGAAGCCATGCGGGATAGTTTTCAAAGGATCAGCCAAGCCTTTAAATTTGCCGGGGTAGGAAATGTCCCAGAGGAGTGGATAGTAGGGGTCGCTAAATTGAAGAATGATGCTGAACATTGGAGAAAGAATTGTAAGGTGCATGAAGGCCGAGCATCGAAGTTTTATCATGATCTACAAATGACAGAGAAAAGACGCGATACAACTATCAATGATTTGGGTATATATCAAGCCGAAAATCAGACGTTGAATTTGGCCATAGCTAACATGGAAATATCGCATCAACGCCACAAGCGGGAGAGTGATGCTGAGCTAGAAGCCACTAGAGCCAAGAACCAGAAGCTGATGAAGATGGTGGATGGTTGTAGTGATCTTATGCAAGAGTTTCATAACCATAATGACTTTCTTACAAGGAAAAATCAACAACAGTGTCTATAGCTCCAAGAATCGGCAATCAAGATAGAGAAAATGGACAACGTCATGAAAGAAGCTATGACCCAAGCAAGAAATATGGCTCACAAATGGGTTAATTTAGCTGGCTTTGCAAGAGAATTGAAACAGATAGACAAATCTACCCCTGAGCATGAGTGGAAGTTAAATTGGCTTTTGAAGGAGATAGAAAAGCTAGGAACGAAAGCTTTTCACTCTAAAATGACACCTTTGTATTTGCATTTAGCATTTGCATTTGCATGCATGTTTTTATTTAAGCATTTTTACATGCATTAATTATGAAAACATGGAAATAACTTATGAAAGATTACGTGACAGTAATAATAAGATAATTCATTCACATTGTTCCTCATCATCATGAACAAACAATTGGAAACGATAGAGTAGTCTAATGAGAAATCACAAGATCAGTTGCAAGAGCAGTTGATTGGGTTACAACAAGATACGAGGAATCAAGCATCGGGGTCTCTGCAAGGTGTATCGAATCAAATGATCCAGGTGCTTGCAACCAAGGCT